CTTCAGTAACGCCCTGCATTATTACAATCCCCGTTGACCTAACGAGTATATCATATATATAATACATATTTCTTCGCTTAAGGATCATGTGGAAGAGTTTCGAGAGTTAAAAACGATGCTTTCTCGTCAAATGAAGGAAACTGCTCACCCGTCGGCTGCGATTATGTTCATGTTTCCCGGCTCAAAACGTCTACCCTACTTCAACAGGATGTGGAAGAAGTAAGTGACACACTAGGCAAAAGTTTACCTTTTAAACAAGTACCAATTGCTGGGCTTTGAAGTAAGTAATGGCCGCATCACCGTCCTACCTTCTCTCGTTAGGCTAGCAAATCGTATGCAAATGGAAACTTAACCATAAGGTACGCATCAGCTTAGAGGGCTAAGTTAAAGGATAAAAAGGATAAAGCATTTGCCGTTGATCAATCCCTTTTTGGGATGCGGCACGCATTCTATTTGTACATTCGTAGTGGCGTTTGAATGCGATGTGGCCTATACAATGACTTGCGGGGGCCAGCCGATGTACAAGTCAGTGTTTTTATCCTCCCAGACAAGTCTGGTACCAATTAACCGACCCCGGAGGGATGGAAGGCTTGGTTGGCCCGGGCGACTCACGACCCAGGATTTGATCCCCGGACCGCTCGCGTGGTAAGCGTGCCACTTGCCACTACACCACTTCCGCCCTGTAAGTTATCCTCGGTTTAATATTCTCACCATTCTACGCACAGCTGAGATTGGATAATCCAGCCCTGAGAGAGCAATAGCAAATGTGACTCCTTTCCCCACTCTTTCGAAACTCAACACTACAGTCACTCCCCTCTTTGAACTTTATTTAAGAACTGTGGACGGCTGTCCCTGGTCCAGTAGAACAGTGAACGCAAAATGCGATATCCCTGGCCAGCAGGAAAAAGAAGAAGAGTAGATCATCGATCGCAATAGTCATAAGTCATAGTTTTATTGTGATACTTTTGGTATGCCAGAGGTGCTGTTACTAAGCGCATGTACTGACATCTCCTCAAAATTCTACCACCCCACTAGGAAGAGCAACACCAAACTTAACAACAGTACCCAAGTTTTTCATTTAGGGAGCCTTCGTAGTTTTGTCCAGCAAAATGAGGTTTTTGTGATAACTTGGAATTCTACATAGACCACCAGTCATTTCATTCGGCAATTCAAATTTTCGGATTTCAGGATACTTTCGTATCGCGATGCTTTCTATGCGTTCTTCGATCGTCAAATCGAGGCTCATCGAAAGGACATCGATTATGATCTCCGAACACACAAATGACTACGTTCGTATAACTTCGTATAAGAGGGCAGAAACGTCGAGAGCACATGCGACTTCTGAGAGTCTTCGACGTTAGGCCTCTAGACATTCTACCTCTGATACTGCTGAGCAGTTTTTACACGTTGTCCACAATATGAAGACAGCGTCCGTTCAAACGAGAAGCTCTTTCAAAGGCAACCGTTGATAAAAATTCCATTGAGATCCAAGTTTCCATTAAAACGCTGAAGACGCCTCGAGCTTTTCATTTTGAAAAATGCGAAATTTTATGAGCCTGTGCTCATTATTTCCTCGGACACATCTTATAAATAAATCGAGACGTAGTAATTGAATTTCATCGATATACAACATCTTCCCCTGTTTAGTGATCATCTTAAATAGTTCTTACTATTTTTTTTTTTTGTTTACCCAAACAGAGCCCGTCCGCGCAAGGGAGGCAGGGTCAACGCAACGGACTTGCCGCGTACTGTGCGACATAGGACGCACAATGGCATATTCTGCTTGACTTGACGCTCAATCACTACGGTACGCGCTACGGCTCGCCCCCGCAGACTCTGCCTTCTTTCTGCGCGACCCGCCTTCTGTCGGGCACTCATTTTTCTGCTTATGTTTCTATAATACAGTGCAGCTTTTCCCCGTGCGTTTTCGGTTGGTTTAACGCATTCTGAACTATTTTGAGCGGCAGTTCTCCATCTCGTGAATTTGAGATGGTTCGAATTCGAAATGTTTGGCTTCGTTTCCGTTGCATAGTATTCTTTCAGCTAAAAGCTTTAAGTATTTGTAATAAGAAGTCAGTGCGAAAAGGGGCTCACACCAGCTGGTCTTATATTTGAATGAAGGAAAGCGCGCCGGTGGCGTGGGCAAAAATGCTGTATGTACTGCCCGAGCCATTATGTAGACTGTACCGCATAAAATGTCAGCACGATCCTGCATAGAAGTGGAATGCATGGCGCATCTCAGGAGGGTCTAATATTGGAACGGCTCCGCATGCAATCTTGCATATTCAGGCATATCCAACTGCAGAATATGTGCCTTGACTTATGGTTTGCTGGCATGGAAACCACTTCAAACACGCTCTCATGGGGTGTCGTCTACATTCTCAATCATTTGGACGTACAGGTTGAAAATTCTCGAATATTTAATCAATTTCTAAGCGACTGCTATTCAAGCACAATTTCTAACTGCAGGGATTGTAGTGAAGTGAAGTTATGAATCAGTTGTGAGCTCAACGAATGAGAGCAGCTTTCTATTTGCCCCGTAGTGAGTGAAAGTATTCTCCAGGAGAGGTTACACGAAGAATTGGATCGAGAAATTGGCTCTTCGCGCGCAATCACTATGGCCGACAAGAATCGTCTACCTTACACCAATGCGGTTGTGAATGTGGGTTTCGTTCTCTCTTTTGATAGTATTATTGAATAATCACAGTAATTACTTTCACGATAAGAAAGCAGAGAGTTAGGTAACTTTTTATATTGGGTTGATCCATAATTTCTGGCCGATTTTGGTTCAAATTCAATTTTCAATATGTCAAATTAAGTTCATATCGAAACAAGTTGATATGTTGAAGAACACATCAGGACCTTCAACCAGGATGTTTCAGAAGCTCAAATGCCGCAAGGGTATAATTAAGTAGGAATCAAAATGAGATCAACGACCAAACCCAACCATTATGCCTTACGACAATTTCAAGAAGAACCTTGCAAGGAGCGCGGTAGGCAAGATCAGCGCTACGTTTGCCCTAGTCTTTGCTACTGATCGAGCACTGAGCTATTGGCTCAATAGCATCGGCAAATAAGATAGGAGCTGCAAAGTTCGACCTCATCAAGGACCTCCAGTCACTTTGGATGAGGACCCCTTGCGCAACGAATAGGAAGTGCATCCTGACGCTATTAGCAGGAAACTATAGCAAACACCTGTACGCAGCCTACGCTCCATGAGTCGATACCTGAACGAAAGGGGCTGTAGCGAGAATGGAGACTCGAAGGAAACAGGCAGGCATCGAATGACCATGAACCGAGAAGCACGTCTGACCATCTGCAAAAGCTTCATTCATCGACCATTTAGACACGACATTCCCTAGTTGGTCACTAGTGCAGATGAGTCACGATAACAACACACAGCATGTCTTGTGGCTACCTCACAGCCTGGACTCACCATCTCGACCAAAGACTGTTTCATCCGAGGCTATTATCCCCGGTTCGTAGGATTCACTGGGTATCTAGTTTTGGGAACAACTTCACTTTATGCAGACAAGCATTGCAATGCTGTCCATGGAATAGCTCCCGAGGTTTCATGTTAAGGGTGCAGCAGGCGGCGCCGAACGTTCGAAACGTCTCTAAATCTCCTTTCTCCGAAGGACCCGCCCGAATTCTATTTGCAAAGATAACTCGCCACGTTTCGAAGGAAACTGGCTGGACCACGACACCACATCTGTCGTATAGCCCTGACATTGCTCCATCGTACTATCACCTCCCAGCTCCCTGAAGCAGCAGCTTGGAGAGAAAAAGTCAGTAAATGCAACCACCCCAAAAACGACCTCTCCGAACTTTTCATCCACAGCTTCATTCATTCTGGGAGGAATGCATCCATTCGTTCCCTAGCAAGTGGATGCATATCAGTGATTATGATGGTGGTTATTTTTTGATCAATCGTTTTTAGGAAAGATAAAACTTGAAGAAATCAAAGTGTTGAAATTCGGCCAGAAATTATGGGTCAACCCAATACTTACAGACCAGGGGTCACACTCAGAAAGAAAACTCGCACAGGTCAAGGGATCTTCCATCCCTTGAAGTTTGGGTTAAGCGACGTTAGCATGTCAATAGGTGTAATAGCAATTGGACACCGTCGTTGGATGCAACGATGGGTGACGTAGATAGGATTCGATAAGGGATTTGACCCCAAGATGGATAAGCGGTGCGAAGCGACTATACAACTCTAGCACCTGAACATAGTTACATAACAGTATTGGGAAAAAGTGAGCATGGCATCCTTATTGTTGGGACGATCTTTGAATAGTCGAGGAACTTACCATTTAACCAGAAAATCCTAGGAGAACATCGCTCATCCTGGGAAGGGAAATACACTTAACTGATGAAGGTTACGTTTCATGGACTTCTGGAAAGCTTCACCTTCCCGACACCAGCGTAGGGCAGCCTCATGAACCCAGTTGATATCTCATGCCTGAGTGATATTTCAAAGACAATGCAGTAAACTTCGAGCGAGGGAAGGCAAAGATTTGATTGAGCGTTGTATATATAGTGCCGTTCCAGGAAACTCAGCGACTGGCCAATTTACTTCCTATGAACCTGCCTCATGTCACGGTTCGCGCCGTTCGAATCGGAAACTACGACCTGCCAACTGGGACAGGAGTTGTTCCGCAAATCAGCAATGTACTCTATGACGATGAGGTGAGCTTTCCAACTCCCTTCCACTGGGTAGTTTTACCAAACATGGGAGATGGGATTTCCTATGTCTCCTGTGTATCTTGGGAGGGAAGTCAAGGAAATCTAAACAACTTCTAATCAAGTATACAGTGCGTACCAAAAGTATGTGGACACCCTAAAATTTTCCTGCTCTGAGGAGCCGTTGACTTCTGCACCATGATAGCGCCACCATTCGATTTCTCCGATACAGATAACCTCAAATTTTTCATTTCTCACCGTTTTACATGCAGCTCTAAATTTTTTAATTAATGGAAAAGCCAAAAAAACAGAAAAAACAATACTTTTGGTACGCCACCTGTAGGCTTCGTGCTTAGATTTCTCACAGCTCCCGAGCCTAATCCTCACGCATCCATCTCTTTAGGATATGAAGACTCTTGCTATTGAACACCCCAGCCCTTATCCCATTAGCGATAGCCCGAGCCAATTTTAACATTCACAAAGACTACTTTTTTGCTCAGATTCTAATTTGATATTTCTCCGTCGTTCCGCCCAAAGTCCCACACCCCTAACGTTAACTCCGTCCTCGATACATTACTCTCTCCACTATTCGCAGAACAACAAATTGAAAGTGACGTGTGCAGAAAAAATGTTGAAAACGGCCTCCTACCAATGCCCGTGCAATGCACTGTCGCTTCGGGCTTAGATAGACATTCGGAAAGATAGCCGGGAATCTCCCAATCGCAACTGCGCAGGGACCTAGGAAAAATGTCTGTACATTACGAAGAGGAGACCACTATAGGGATGTTACAAACAAATAACAGCTACTTCCAGTGTTTCACTCCTGATACCTTCAGTCGCTTCCAAGATTTATTGATGACGAAAGGAAGCTAAAGCAAAGGGTTAGTGCATTGTCATGGTAAGTTAAGTGCGTGGTTGAGTACTGATCAAAATTATCCATTAAGGTAGACGAGCTGATACCCTTCTCTATCGGGAAACGTCAATGTCTAGGAGAGGGTCTAGCCAACAATAATTATTTCTATTGATCGCCACCTTTTCAACTCGATTCTGAGTAGAAAAATACGTCTCTCATAGTTTTCGGGTACAAAGAACTACCCATTTTCACACGTGTATACTCTAATTCCAGCTATCCTGTGAAGATCCAAATGAGCCACCATCGATGAAGAAGACGTTTGGCACTACAGTACAACCGCGAGAATATCACTGCCTCGCCAGATCAAGATTCGAATGACGACCGATGAATTCTGGCCGTACAAAGATTAATAATAAATTTACTCTCCAGTTTTTTTTCTTGAGGAAGTGGCAGGGGGCGTCACTAAAAAACGTATGCCCGAGTTCATCCCAGCTCGCGTATCGATCATCAAGTCTTCTCGTCCATTTCGTTCATGGTTAGATGTGCCAGGACTCATCAGGGAGAAACAAATATTGATTTGTACATTGGTTGGCCCCGTTGGTTGTATGATAGGTGGAGGTAAAATCGTATTAAAATGTCGCTCTGAGTCTCATCTGTCCATTCTTCAAGCCAGATTTTACGATGAAGAAGCAGCCCATTGGAAATTAAGTTAGAGATGGTCAGTGATGCACGAAAGAAAAAAAAAACGAGAAAATGGCCCAGAAATGGGACCCTTCCTTGCCCGTTGATTTCCGCATTGATGCGACTCTCATCGGTGCTGCCCTCTTCAACGCTAACGCTCTCTCTCTAAACAGGCTAGAGGCTCAGAGAGGGAGAGAGGGGACGTTCGACGCTGATAGCGCGCCGATACATATCTCCGCGAGGAAGCCATGCTAGATCGCCGGGGCACCTACTTCGATGCAATCGCGTTCGGTCCATACCCTCAAGAGGTCCGCTTGTCCTCCCACTGGGTGAGTTTCTCCTTCCTCAACCTTCGTCCTTGTCGTGGGATTCTCCTTCAAGGCAAATATGGAATGCATTTTTGTCCTAAGTAGGGTTGTATTGTACCGGCTGCTCTACCCTCTAATTTATCGTGAAAAACTAGGTTGCCTCATAAATCCTGAAAACCACGAAGTGCCCTGCAAATTACATACATTCTCGTTAGGGAATAACTCTGATGAAAACGTAGGGCTGCTCTTCTATGTGAGATAAGGACCATCTCATCAACCTCGTTTTGGTTCAAATAGCTTGCGCTCCATAATTAACACATTGACGACCGCGCGCGTTTTGGCTTTTTTGGCCGTGTGGGACCGGGCCGATTTTGCGAGTGCGACCGCCGCACCTCGGATCCGTGAATTTTTATTGATAACTTTTTAAAGCACCAGTGGTACAAAAACATCTCAGTAACAGTCAATGCGTAGAAGGTAATAGAGTATATAGTGACGAAGTTCCGATTAAAGAACATGTAATGGTAATGAAAAAGGAAACTTTAGTCATTTTATCTGTAGTGGATGCCAAAAGCTCTTTTGATGTGGTTATACCAAGTGAAACATGTATTTTTCTGTCTCTTTAGATTTGCATTTACTTTCACTACCCTTTTTTATTGACGTGTTCATGAGAATAGCATGAAAACTATTAATGAACCAAGCCGCCAATTTCGGTGAGCTTGGAAAACTTCTTCTAAACTGGAGCATATTTGAACAAACAATGACCTATGTCGTTCA